TGCTAATCAGATCACATGCCCAAAAAAACAAGAAAATTGATCAAAAAATGACAAATTTCAAAGAATCCCGTGAAGAACACTGTGCAACCCGTGTTCTTCACGAACTCGCCGATTCCGCACAGTGAATCGGTGAGTCACTGTGTGGAATCGTCCGGTTCTCTCTAGAACCGAACGATTTCCGATTTTTTAACCGATCAGGTCCCTTTTCGCGATTTTCGAGTTGAACCGGCCTAGTCCGGTTCGACTCGGCGTTTTTTAAAACGCTGGTTCCCACCAAAAAGATAGGCGCATCAAAGGGACCATCAGCTCACGACTCATTGTCCAAGGACAAACATGGACAATGTTGGGTTGGAGTACCCTATTCCATAATCACAACCAGTGTTTGAAAAGGCGGCTGCTCTGGTGCCTAGCTGGCCAAGGCCCAAGGATCATCACCTAGAGGTAGGCATCTGCCTGGGTGGTTCTACAGGCAGCCGCTTAGGCAGCCTCTTCTTTCTACTAATTTGGGCAATTACCAAATGGTCTGAAATTTCCCCAATTTTATGGCCAGATCCTTTTTTTGTGGTTTTCTCATTCCAGGTTTTACCCTGTTCAACATTGCAAATATCGAATCACTTCTTTGTGAATTCTAGGGCAATATGATGCCCTAGATATTGGAATTTCTGACGCATCCGATATTAGAAACATCAAACCGCCCCATATATAGAATTATTTTAAAAATGAACCTTTCCAATTTAGAAAAGATCAAGCCATATTCAAAATCCAAAAAAAAAAGAGAAATTTGGAGCAGTACAATGTCTCCAACGTCAGACCACCCCATCTTGACCAAGTGACTATCCCATCTCCAACTTCAGTGAGAGATTATGATATAAGGTGTTGACCCAGCATATCATCATCATGGGATATGTTGTGTAGATTAACATGGGTTACTGCCCCACCTTGAAGAGTTAATAATTAGCGACAACAATTAGCTCCCCCAAAGAAATAATTACCATGAGAGAAAGAAAAGCATGTAGGAACTAAACTTAGCTGGAAGATATCAGCAACTTGGGTCAACCCTTTATATCATTCTCTTAGGTAATTTGAGGGCGATCACTTGGGTCAAGATGGGGAGGTCTAATGTTGGAGATAATGAATTGTACCAGATTTCTTTTTTTTTTATTTTAAATATAATCTAGTCTTTCTAACATCAGATCGATCCATACACAAAAAACTAATAACTATTCTAAGAGTGGGGTGGTCCAATGTTTCCAATATCATCAAATCACCAAGAAATGGTGCAACCCAATATATGGGGCATCAGACTACCCTCGAATTAGCGAAAAACAAAAAGGTGATTTGATGTTTGCAACATCAATCCGGAGGCAAAAAATAAAACACAAAAACCATGAGAAAGAAGGACTTCGGCATAAAATTGGAAAAAATTAGACCATGTGGTAATTCTGCAAATTATTTCTAATCCATGCATAGTTTTTCCACAAATTATACTTATACTTACCTCTCCATGTGGCATCCTATTGTTCTAGTTCTCCTATTATGAACAGTCTAAATCACACTTGCAACCCCCGCCCACAATAGGCGCTCCAGAACTGAGCACATACCCATCCTCTCCTACCCCTACCCCTGAAGTAATCCCTATTTCTCACGTTTAACCCAAGTATTTATACCAATCCTCTCCTACCCCTACCCCTGAAGTAATCCCTATTTCTCAAGTTTAACCCAGGTATTCACACCAACTCATACAGCCACATCCCTAGCCTCCCTAGTCACAAGGCTCGGCCAACAAAACTTCAACACAAAAGCAAAGGAGACCAATGTTCGCAAGATCGAACCAGAATGGTTAACCGGACATGGGGCTGAGAGCAGTTAGAACCGAAACCAGGCTAACCGGACCGATTTGGTCTGGTAGAATTTTTTAAAAAAAAATGGGTCAAAACCTCCCCAAAAAAAAAAACATAGATTAAGTGTATACTATCTTATTGCCTACATTTATCTTAAAATAAAATGTTGTTTCAAAGTTTTATATGAATTAATATATCAATATGATGGAGATATGCAAGACAATTTAGAATTTGACATATTCAATATAGGGAGTTACAAAGTCCAACCAACAATGGCTAGTAGTAATGAGAGTGGCGAGGGGGGTCAGAGTACTGCTGTGTCTCGCACTCTCGCTATCAGGGTATATGTCCCCTTGCCAGTCATGAACATTTCCCATGGTACCCCCTCCCCAGTTAGTAGGGTCTTGGTCTTTTAAGACAAGTAAATCATAAATGACCCATAACAACTATCCAATGAGAGATCATATTATCTATCATAAAGAACCTCTTAATCCAAATAAGAAATTTGAACTCAATGCATTCCATTCAAGGTTTCATCAATATAGAATACATGATATTGTTTCCAAAGACATTAGGATCCTAGACGTTATGCAATAAACATGATGACTAATGAGATATGTCTCCACTATATCAATATACATGATATTGTTTCCAAAGACATTAGGATCCTAGACATTATGCAATTAACATAATGACTAGTGAGATATGTCTCCACTACTACAAGAATTAAAAACTGGAAATCCAAGTTTATCGATAAAAACCATAGAGAGTCCCAGTGTAATGTGCACTTAAAAAAACATACTTAAAATACTTAAAAAAAATAGAGCACAACAAATCGAGCAATATTATCATGCACTTATATTTTTAAAAAAATATATAACAATAAAAAAAGAAGAATCGATTTTTTGTCATATTCATCAAAAAATATAATTTTATAAAAAACATAATTTTATTAAGAATATAAAAACATTTCCCATATTCATCAAAAAGCACATTTTATTAAACAAAATAAATTTTTTTTTAGAAAAATCAATTTCTCAAAAACCCCTAAAATCGAGCAAGAAACATCCTTCAAGCAAGAAACATCCTTCAATGTTTGGTATTTTTGTGACATCAAGCAAGAAAAAATGGCGGAAATTTCAAATCTATGAAATTTTCATGACATCAAGCAAGAAGAAATGGCAGAAATTTCAAATCTATGAAATTTTCATGACATCAAGCAAGAAAAAAAATCATATAAAAAAATTTACTCAATCATAAATAAATTTACCTATTTTATTTGGGAGATGAAGCCTTGATAATCAAAATTCACAAGTCATTTTGATAAAAAAGGAGCAATAAACTGATCAAAAATCTGCTTTTTTGGATCGAAGTCATGTCTTTTGAGCAGCAGCGTTTCAGGCCAAAGTCGACCCATAATCTTTTGTAGATTGAACAAATTTAAACACAGATCTGGTAAATGCTTCAATTATCTATCAAACGTCCCTAATTTCATCAAGAATAATTCGATATTGAAGAGGTAAATGCAAAAATGGCAGAAATTTCAAAACCTGTGAAAATCCGCCATTTTAATCCACTGAAACTCTTTCTTTTTGGATGTTTTATTCCAAATTTGTTGATTTTATAGACAAAATCAAATGATTTACATCAATAATGCACCGAAAAATGCCAAAATATGGCAGAAAAAGGAATAAAAAAAGCAAAACAAAGTGGATCAGGGGTTTCTGCTACATATAACGACCAACAATGAGAAATAATGCCAGTTTTTTGGAAATGCCCATTTTAAAAAAAAAAACACCCTATATATTACCCAACTGGTCCGGTTAGCAGAAAACCAGCCAGTTAGTTAGAATTCCAGCCAATTTGTGTACTAACCAGCCGGTTTTGGTCCGGACAATTTAAGGGCATGTCTACCCTATAACTATACCCCCAAAACTAGGGTTAACCGGAGTAGAGACCCTACTGATTATGATCTAACCGGCCGGTTTTTCCTAAACTGAAGGAGACCCCCCCTAAGCTAAATGATTGGATGGCCATGATTCAAACAAAGTCTGGTCCTATCACCCAAGGCCAAATGGTTTTGTGTAGAGTACTTAGGCATGTCTTGTAGCGACACACACAACCGAGTATTGTAGAACCCAGGTGATTTTCCCAAGTTCTGCAGTACATCGGTGAGTTCATACAATACTCAGCCCCACAGCAAATTTTATACAAATACTCAGCTTGGCACCCTGCCGACGGCGTGTCTGAGTAACTCGGACGATTTTGCGAAACACTCGTCTAGAAAGGGCCTTGCAGCTGACCACCAAAAACACATGGTTGGGCCCCACATGGTTAGGGGGAAGTTTTGATATGAAAATTTGCAGAGGAACATTGATTTGCCTTGTGAGCAATTCACGAAGAAAAAATGAAATTGCTTTTGAGAACCTAAAACCCCAAACTTAATTGTCTTTCATGAGGCATGCTGGCCTCCGAGAGTTGGAGCATTTTTTGAGCTTCAAATCATTTTTTTATAAATTGGTCTTGCGAGTAACTTCGGATCATCTGAAGAATTTCATGTAAAAAAATCCCTCCAATGTTTAGAAACTCAAACTCGGTGTACAATTCAAGTACTGTCAACATCAAGTCTACCCACTGAGTTGAAAACTAAACTTGGAAAAATTGGCCTGGTATTTTAAATTTCATAAAAAGCAAAAATTATCCAGTTTTTTTTTTAATTTGTAAAGTTAAGCAACATATTGCTATTTGTCCTGATGGGATTCGAACTTAAACAATCAGCAAAAACCCGCACTACTACCACTTGCCAATACATTCTTTAATATCGTCCCATTAAAACGAGAAAATAAACCATTAAAATCATTCAATTGAAATCAATTATCTACTATTTTTCAATCCAAAAAAAAAAAAAGCAGCATGCATAAACATTGAAACTATGATGAGATCTCTAAGTCAAATCAGCATACATGAAGCTTAATGTTCTGCAAACATCTTCAATATTCAAAATTAAGTGAAATTTTATCTACTTTCTATATCATAAACTGAAATTTGGAAGAGAACAGAATTTACAACTAATGAATTTGAAGTTTAATTCTATTCACTCTCGTTTTTTGTTACCAGTAGCAAGGAACCATCAAGCTTCCATGATTATTAGGGTTCCTTGAGCGCAAAAAGCCCAATAGAAGGGGCAAAAAAACGAATCATTGCAAACTGAAAATGCTATAAACATTGGAGCTACAAACATTAGGCATTTATATTAAATAAACAAACTCCATTAAAATCAGCACACATAAACATTCTTTAAGATAATCCCATTAAAATGAGTCAGTCCCACAATAAAAATTATTCCCTTGGATGCAATTACCTAATATTCTTCAAAAAAAAGCTTCAGCATACATAAAAATTGGAGCTATAAAAGCCCTAAATCGAAAATTTTCACATACCACCATTAAGAGAAAATCATTCTTTAGTGTCATCCAGTTAAAATGAGAAATCCCACATTCCATTAGATTGAACTGACTAATATTCTTTAAAGAAAAAAGAATCACCATGCATAAAAACTCGACGTAAAAACCCTAATGTGAAATTTTCACATAACTGAATTCCTCAGGCCTATTTTGATAGGCTTGGAATTAGATTGATTCGAGCCCCTTTTCTGGTTTGGAAGGTGAAGCTCTCTCACAAAAAACCCTAAATCTTTTTTCAAGAAATCGTAAATCCTCAACAAAAAAACTTAAATCTTCAAATTTTTGGATGGTGAAGAACTCCCAAGGTAGGGCTTTAATGGTCTCCGAGAGAGAGAAGGGGAAAGCTCTTTGGTATGTGAGAGAGAGGGAGATGCATTTCTTTCACTACATCTCTATTAAAGAGAGAGTGAAAGAAATGCATCTCTCTCACAAGAGAGTGAGAGAGAGGTGCATCTCATAGAAAAAGAGTGCGTCTTTCACGGGGGAAGAGAGAGAAGGGAGGAAAAAACCTAGAGAGAGGATGTGCAGAGGGGGCTTCGAAGAGCAAGAGGGGAGCTTTTTTTCAATAAGAGAAAGTAAAGTTTGAGAGAGGTGTATATAAGGTGCTTATTGTAAGAAGTAAGTGCAACTCAAAACTTTACCAAAGGTGCATTTGATAACTTTCTTTGCAATTTCCCTGCGATTCTCCTTGCTGTTGACTTTCCTGGAATCTGGGAAGAAAGTGAAAATTGGTAGCCTGAAAGCTGGGAACCCTGTTTGATAAATTGTGGTGCTCCTATTTTCACCTATTTGGTAGTGGGACTGTGGGAAAGCCGGAAACAACTTGTTTTAATCGTTCATTATGTATTTTATTGATTTGATGCGCAAAATGTATATTTCAAATAAGATTTTCTTGCTACAACCCATCTAAAGCATTTCTTACAATGCATGGTTAAGATTGAAATTTAATCTTCTATCTATGTAACTTAAGGAAGAAAAACCCTCAATAAAATATCATATTTCAACGACACGAGTACAAAAAAATAATACCATACCAAAAGTTCAACACATAAGTTTTATGAAACTCGAGGCATGACAATATTCTGAAAACATGACAATATTCCGAAACAACTCAAGGCAAAAATATGAACATATAAGGAGAACAGTATAACTTGGTACAATTCCATATAATCAACTATGGATCCTTGCATGAAAACATCCATTCAAATCAATTATGGATCCTTCTAGTACTTTTAGGCCAAAACTTTCAGAAGTGCTATAAAATGTAATGGTTGAGATTGAAGTTTGTTCTTATATCGTGCAATGCTCATTGAACATTTAGATCCCAAAAAACAGGCAGAGCATATTGACAACTAGAAGTGAAACACCGATTCTAATCCAAATTATGAACTTAACACGATAATTTCTCCCAGAAAACCAAACGAAATGAGAACAGATTTCAATCCAACCACTCATTTGAACCACAAAGTCCCATAGCACTTCTACATAACAATATTAATAATTTGCAACAAAAATTATGGAAAACAATAATTGACTGATCAACTCATCAATGGCGGAAATTTCAAAAAAAAGTGCAAAAGAAAAAATGAGCACTAATAATAAACAAATCATAGATAAACTGAATAAAATATTCATGGAAGAATCCTAAGATGTGAAAAATTATAGACATAGCAAAGCAATCAAACAATAAACAGATGAATAGCAGATCAAAGAGGTCGCCAACTATTACCAAATCATGAAAAACCAGAATCAGATCACACCAAAATATGATCAATTCCACATCAAAAACACATCAAGAAAAGAATGGCACCTCAAAAGAGGAAAATGAACAGCACCTCAAAAGAGGCAAAAATGAATCACACCTCACAACACAGCGAAAAAAAGAAATTATCAATATGAACATCCCATTCATTGTAAAAAGACCAAAAATGAAAAAAAATTGAAGAAAAAAATAAAAAATAAGAAACTGGAGAAAAAACCTGTGAATGATTCTTCAGTTAAATGAGTAGAATAAACCAACTTGACCCTGTTAAAGTTGGGTATTGATATTCCGTATAATTTCTTTAACAGAAAAACCATATATATTAATTTTGGATATTATCTAATGCAAAACCATAGTTAACAGAAAAACCCTAATAAACTTCTACAGAGAGATCAATGAAACCTCCGACCACAATGTCGAGAGAAAAACCAAAAGCATCTCAAAGTTCTAGAGAGAGACTCAAACCCATCTGAAGATTCAATAATATCTAGAGACAACATACAATGAGCAAAGCCAGTCTCAGAAAAGCAAAGCCAGTCTCAGAAATTGTAGAGAGATAAACAAAGAGACCAAGAACACGAGAGAGAGAGACGGAGAGATGGATGAGCGTACCTGTTATCCTCCGTCCAGAGCGAGAGAGTAGGGTTACTGTATGGCTAGAGCGACAAGGAAAGAGTGAACTTTGGGCGCGGAGGAGAGAAGTTGCAGCGCTGTGTCTCTGTGGCAACAATGGTAGCTTGAGATTTGGGTTAAAGTTTGAACCTCAGCGGGGGCAACAGCTAGGTTTTACATTCCAATTTTCTCATACAGTAGACGCGCAGGGTCTTTGTGGTCCGCCAAACAGTAAAATGGGGAAAACGTAAGTTCCGATTTTTATCTGTTTTACTGTTATTAAACGGGTAAAACAATGAAACGGTTAAAGTCCACTACAATATAACACACAATCTAGGCCATCTATATTCAATTTTTTCAAATATCTATAGATGTGCACTATCCACACTAGCTTTTGAGTTTTAAATTTCAAAATTAAAGGTGAAAATTTTTCAGGCTATTGTAAATATTTATGGGAATTCTTCTATAAGTTCTGATTTTATGTTCATAAATCAACAAAAACAATTCCTTTTCATTTTCAAAATCTAAAATAGTCATATATATTTTATATTATACACTTAAGTCTAAGGTATATTTGTATTTTACTTTTGATCCTTTTCCACTCCATCAGCTCAAATTTTGAATATCCTTACTTCTCGCGATAACATACACATCAAAAAAATTTAAAAATATTATTAATCTATTTAAAATGTCCACAATACCTCTATAAATTTCAAATTTGGGTTATTCTATAATTTGACACACAACTCATTGGTGACGTCTAGAATTGGGTGGGAGCATCAACAATGGATAGTTGAATTTATTAATTTTCCTTTTTTCTCGGACTCCATTTATTCTTGGAAACTCTTCATTTTCCCTAATCTGGACTCCCTTTATTTTTGAAAATTTTTATTTTCCCTAATCTTTCTTTCTACAATGTTTTTTTTCTTGCTCAATCATTGTAGAAATGGGTGATAGCAAGTCCAATGAAGCATAAGAAAATGTAAAAGCTATGATTCTATTTTATATGATTTTTGTTTTATTTTTTTGGTTGCTTTGGGTTGCTGATTTGGGTTAATTTGATTGTGAAGCCAAAATCAGGTACACCAACAGAAAGTATTAGGAATTTAGATATAAATTTCAATGGATTTCATTTAACTATGGGAAAAGTTTATATTGAGCCGAGGCTCTAAGCAATCAAATTAAAGCCTACCTAAAAATTGTTATTAGAATTGGTTGTTTTGATGCCCAAATATTCTCAAATTGATCATCTCAACATCAAGAAGCACATAAACATGAGAAAAAAAATGAATTTCCAGTTTTGGAAATAGTGTATTTTGCAACGTATTTTTGGACCGTCAATTTTCAAGATTTTAAAGTTTTCAAAGATCTCTCGATCTACTCTATTTTTAAATCTTTAAACTTTATAAATACAGATGAAAATATATTTTAAGGCTATAAAAAATATTTCCAGTATTGAAACCACATTTTTCGATACTATTTGTATGCAGGCTCTAATTTGATTGTTTAGAGCTTAGGCTCTATACAAACTGCACCCAACAACTATTTCTTACTCTTGGTCATCCACTATGATTTTTTATCCAAATTGAGCAAATAAATTGTTCAGAATTTCATCCTGCCCAAAGACCTTTCTTTTCAATGGGGCATGTCTTACATGCCTTCATTGTGGTGAGCCAAAACTCATCACAAAGGCAGAAGAATACAGGCAGAAGAATAACGGAAAGGCAAGTGATGACAGTATGGAAAACAACGAAAAACCCAAACAGGATTAACTCATGATTTCCAAATCATCCCTACTCTGACAATTTTCAAAAAAATGAAAACCCAATTTTGATTTCTGTATAGGGATTAACTCATGATTTTCCATTTTGAGTAGCAGGGAATAGCAAGGAGGCTTGTTTGTCATGGAGATTTTCTAGGGGCCCATTTTGTATGTTGACCCTACATTTAATTTTAAATTATACGAATTAACTTCTCACATTCATTCCAAACTTCAATATTGTTTGTAATATTGATTTATTTTCTTTTTCCTTTCCATTGTATCATTATGTATAGTCTTATTACATTCCAAATATTCTATTAACATCAATGTATTAAAAATGTACCAAACTACATTTTTTATTTTGAAACTAATAATTAATATATCTTGTAGTGCAAACAATGTAGGACTTATCTCCAAGTCCTACACTTCATGTGCCTGGGGGACCAAAAGCTCTTGTTCCCCATTTTTACATTTTTCACAAATAGAAAGCAACAAATGATAATAATATAAAAAATGAAAGGCAATTAGTATGCCCCTCCAAGAACTACAAAAAAGAGAGTGGAATGAGTTGTTCTTTTATTATATTTGGCTCTTTTTTCTTTTATCCGCTTTCCATGGAGGTGCATGGCTTGTATGTTACTCTCGTCCATTGGACATGGTAGCCTTAGACAAGCTGGTTTCTTTCTTGGTTCTCTCGTTTTCTTTGGATAAGCAATGGATGGGAAATATCAAAAGTATCCTCTCTCTCTCTCTCTCTCCAAATCCGTTTGTTTTGAAGGGCTCTCTCGCCCCCTCACCAATGGATACATTTGATCCCATATTCACATAGGTATACTGTCATAGTATACTTATCCCCAATTATGTACTGAAATTTGTAACCCAAGAGGAACCTCTCTCTCTCTCTCTAGCACACAAATTCTCTCTCAAAGCACACACACCAAGGGAAATTCAAGATGCACACACCATTATTCTCTCTCTCATATTGCAGAGCACAAAACAAGTAATCTGAAGTCCACCATGCGTTTATTTTCTATCCATATTAAGAACCCATATTCTAAGTTATTTCAAAACAAGTAATCTGAAAGTTCATGCGTTTATTTTCTATCCATATTAAGAACCCATATTCTAAGTTATTCCCAAATTACATCGTAACCACAACATAACTATGTCATTTTAGATATGAGCAGTTCAATATTAAATCGATGTGAGCATGTCTATGGTGAGTACAGGCCCGTACTCTAGATCTGAGTATGTCTATGGCGAAAACAGGTCCGCACTCTTCACTCATAATATAAAACTATTTCTCTCCAGTCCTTTGACAGTTTTGTAGCACCCGCTTCCACCCGGGTTTCAAACATGGTTTTGTCATGTTCGGGAGCCCATTTGATACGCCTCATCTCTTCACCACTTGGTACAATAATTTGGACGACAGCCATACTGGATTTTAGTAGGATTTCTCTCAAACATATGTATGCATTCATAAATGACATGTGCAAAACCGAATGCCTAAAAAATAAATAGAACGCAAGTCTACATTCTCAATTCACACAGCCCCATTGATCAATAATCTGTAACAATCAACATAATAAATGCAAGAAATATTCGATACCCCAATTGATCAATAACCTGTAACAATCGACACAATAACGTACAGTTTCATTCACCAGCCATTCATAAGTTTCACTCAAAAACTAAACATCAAACAAGGGAGCAACCACATTCAAACATATGTCGACATTCATAAATAAACTGTGAAAATTTGAATGCCCAAGATTACTGTCTTGGAAAGAATTACAAGTTTATAGCAATACAAGGGAGACACTAATTATCACCAGCAATAGCTGCCAATGAATGGCACAATGAATGTTCCAATTATACCAAAAGGAACAACAACAACAACAACAAAAATTTCAAACCTCAAACAGAACTCAATACAATGCTCCCTACAAAACCTTAATCTTCTTAACATTTTCTGAACACTGATCACAATTTATAGTAGATGTGTCAGCACCCATGATCCTATCCCTCATACCAAAGATGAACCTCGTCAACCAAGATCTCATCCCTTGTATCAAAGATGAAGCATTTCTTGCCAGTAAATAAACATCACATTGTGAATGCCTAAAATGTTATTTTTGCAGTTCCAAAGCTTCGTCCCTATATATTGATTAAAAATAAAAAATTGTCCATTTATGACACAGGTCGCCATCCAAACTCACTCTTGATGGCTTCTCTAACTTGAAAAGGCCCCAATGCCATCAAAGGCAAAATCCAAGGCATCTACCTCTACAAATTGTTCATAACATGCGACTTTAGAAGCGAGAGGACTGTATGGGTGCACCTTCATTAGGTTCTCAACCCTATTTACATGATCAAACTCTACAGTCTGATACCATGGTAGAGTCAGAGAAACTGTGCATGTATTTCCATATATTAGAAAGAGTGGTTAATGCATATATATAATTAATTTAGGTGCATAAAAGTCACAAATACCTCATACAAGTAAGATGACACAAAATGCATTTATATAATTAATTTTCCCAGAATCTCTTCATCCATATGAGAATCATGCTAATAGCCATCTAGAGCCTGCAATTCATGCCTGCTGCTTTCCACCATCCCCCAAACACATTTTTACTTTTTAAGTATTTCTTACCATTGAATTATGAACAAAATTATGCACAACAACCTCCCATTACAAGTATATATATAATAACACAAAGTTCATGTGAAAAAATTATATAGTTGCGTGCTTGTTATGTCTCGGTGCAAAGCTCCTAAACCACATTCGGCATGTAGTCAGTGAATTCAGATTAGATTTATAGTACCAGATTTCAAATGCATTCAATTACACAACCTTAACTACCAATTAAAAAACTCAAAGCCAGATTGCGCGAAAATAGAACATCTTAAACAATTATATAGGATAAGTGTAATAAAGCAAACAGATCTTCTTACCCATAAAGCAAACAGAATTCCCTTCTGAAATCACAACAAATTCATAACTTAGAGGAGAGAGAAAGGGCAAGAAGAAGCAGAAAAAGGAGAGAGCGAGGGAGAGCTGAACGTCGTCTTCCTGTGTCAAGGTGATGACCCCTTTAACCTTACCATTACCCTTGAGAACAGCGAGTGCTTTCTTGGTGGCTGTAACAATGGTGAGAGGTCTGCGAATCGTGGTGGAGGAGAGACTGAAGGACTGGTTCGACACCTTAAGAGATGCACCTCTAAAAGACGAGTGCTGAGTGATCGGAGAGGACAGAGAAACAAGGGCAGGAGAAGCGAAGGACTGGTTCAACACCTTAAGAGATGCACCTCTAAGGATTCGAGGAAGTGCTTGTTTAAAATTGATGCTGCAATTGCAGCGTATGAAAGAGAATGAATTCAATAAATTTTTTGTTGTGATTTGCTTTAGCATTGATAAACTAGTTTGATTGTAAAGTTGGGGGTATTTACTTAGATGGGTTTTGTTATTTTCCCTATTTTTGTGTTTTTGATGTGATGATTAATGCAAGAACGAGATTGCTGGTTCCTTTGATATGTGGATCATTTTGTGAAGGGAAAAGTTTATATAGAGCCGAGGCTCTAAACAATTAAATTATAGCCTACATCAAAAATCTCAATGGAAGAGGTTGTTTTGATGCCCAAATATCCTCAAATTGATCATCTCAATGTCAAGATGCATGGACATGAGAAAAAATGGATTTCAAGTTTTGAAATTAGTGTATTTTGTTACACATTTTTGGACAGTCAATTTTCAAGATTTTTAAGTTTTCATAGATCTGTTGATCTACACTAGTTTGAAGCTTTAAACTTTATTAATACAGATGAAAATATATTTTAAGACTATCACAAAGATTTTCATTATTGAAACCACATTTCTCGACACTATTTGAAGGTAGGCTCTAATTTGATTCTTGAGATCCTAAGATCTATACAAACCACACCCTTTTGTGAAATATCCTCATCAATTTTTGAAGTAAACACCATATTATACAATCACGCATTGGACCCTTAAACCATAACTGCTTCAATTCTCTTCAACCATAGGGATATTCTGTTTTTTCCTTTAGCAATATCGCTTCTGTGGTGTTTGCTTATGTCCTGTGTCATAGTGGAGCCACCAACATTTGCAGTGCCCTTAATGTATGCGCTATATGGCTTCTATTGTTCACAAGAGTAAACTGTTAGAAGTTAGAAACAACCAGTAAACGCTACAAAAAAAAAAATCATTAGCAGAACTGGAAGGAATAAAATATTGCTTTTATTTTCCTATGCACCACAAAAAAAAAGCATTATTTTCTAGAATAATGTAACTGAAAGAGGATTTTCGAATTCGAAAATACCATAAGGGTTCAGCAGTGATTCAACTAAAATATCAAATATCACTCTATAGGCTTGAAAAAAATAATGTCTTCAGATTGAATAACAACCGATTAATTTACAAAGAGTGAGATCCAAGAGTTGACACACTCAAAATCCAATTGTAATTTATTTGCGAATGATCATCAAGTGATTCTTAAGTGGATTCTGAAATCTCAAAACAAGATAATCATCCCAAGTAAGTCTTTTGCTCGAGGGAGTAAAAAGTGGACAGTATGCTCCCGAGGGAGCACAACTTAGGTGCTCATTAGTTTTGAATAATCTAGATTTGGGGGTTTTGGTGTGTCTACCGCACCTAATCAAGTGGGATCTCCTTCCAAAAATTGTCTTTGAACGAATTTTGAATCTAAAATTTCACAATTTGATAATATAAATTACCAAGGAATTCACTGAGTATGTTCATCCAAAAACAAGGCAGAGTGAACTATCGCGAACAACTAAACCACTTGGTTTAGTAATAGTTTTTTTTTTGAGCAAATAAGGAACACCTAAACCATTTGGTTTAGTACTAGTTATAGATAACCTTACTCAATATGAGCCCACCATCTGTATTAAATGCCAAAGATTAGATGCTCGCAAGACCATATCATCCAATTTTTGGATGGTCAGCACAAAGTGTTTAGGAACTCAAGATTCATATCTAGTAACACAAAATTGGATCCACCCCACCCCCAAATATGCCCTTTGCCCAAGGGAGTAAGTGAATAGTGAACTCCCGCTGGAGTACTCTATACAAGGGTATATGTGTTTCTACAGCGTCATAAATATTCATGTCTAAAGTAAAATGCCGATGTATGGTAGGATTGCTTCATTTCTGGGATTGGCTTTACCTTGATATATCGGAACTGACCTCCTCCTTATTTTGTTGAGGTATGACTTCTGAGAGGATCAAAATTCCTCTACTAAGACAGATGGTAGCCATTCAGTTGATCCAATTTGAAGAGGCCAACAAGTGAATTTGTCTGGCATCCAGATAAAAGAGGCTAGGTCCATTTCCCCACATTCTATTCTCAAAGTATATTAACTACTGACATCTGGATATCGTTAGTCTTGGAAAGCTTCTTTTCAAATGGAAAGTAGACGTTTGTAAATTATGTTCATGGTTAATGTCCTTAATAAATCCAATGAGTGACTTATAATCCTTTTATATGCAAACAAACAGCTATCCCACATTTTTATGACAAATCAAATAGTCCAGCAATTTCGCCGGCAAAGGTCATCAAGTGAGTTGTAATGACAATTGAAATTATTGGAAAAGAGATGTTAGTATATATTCTCAACGGCGAATACAATTGAAAAAGAAAAAGGGCAGCAAGTATCATCAGAAAGTCAACTAGTGCTCCATCAGTGTATTACTATGGAGCTCAAACATGGGAGTACACATGTAATGGCTTGCGCCAGTCCATTGATTATTGACCTACAAGACTCAAAATCCGGATTTCAAGACTCAACCATGATAAAAGGATGTGAACAAATGATATAGTGAGGGCAATAGCCAGAAAGCATTGACAGCAAAGACCAGGGGCCTAAGAAAGGTAGTGCATCATAGGGCCGAGATGAACCCCCAGAGAGAGGAAAGGCATTAATTCTATTTCCTAGCTATGTTGTCATTCTTCATGATCATCAATTAGGGATACGTTTTTTGTTTTCCTCGATCTGTAATCTTAGGCACTTTAGAAAAATCAAGACCATAGGTTAGCCGATTAGCGAAATCTCTACACCATGGTTTCACATTAATCTGAACAATCCATGGTTTTGTTCTCACCAAGAAGCCATCAATGGTATTATATTTTTTTCTCATAGAGAAATGAACATTTTGACTTTATTCACAACCATAATTTGTAATATACTTCCTTCATCCACTAAGTCCCTCTCCTACCTGCTTTTGGGGCTGCGGCATATTTATCTTGTGTAATGAGCTGCGATGAACCTCAGTTGTGTATCACGCTATCTTAATGTCACTATGTAGGTTTCAAGTTTTAATCCATGCTTGTCAATTGAACAAAAAAAATGAATCTCACGAAAATAGAGAAAGCCTGCCTGAGAATTGCTAGAAAAAGAAAAATCAGAAAAGGGACATTAACAACACAAAATAATAAAGTTATAGAAAATTTTTTAGCACTACCTATACTTGGACATTCCGGCTTCGTATCCATGATTTGATATTGAAAGCAGTACCATCTGATTCATTATTCGGGGTGCAACTGATTTGGAGAGGCTAAGGTTTTTAAAACTTCCAGATATTCAATAAAGATAATTTCCAAATCCAAACCCAAGTGTGACCAAACTACAAGAACAAGCCAAAAGTTTCTACACAGAACAATCATTGTAGTGGAAGTATAGAAAGACATGACATGGACTTAGTTCTACACTAGATATTTTCTAGATTCTTCACGAGATTAATTGCACAACTCGTCTCTACAATTTTTCCATCTCATCCTTGTTTTTCCTTTATCCTACAAGTCCCACAAACCCAAAGTTCCAACGATTTCTCTATTATGCAAAAACTAAGGCTCCAAGAAACAGTTTTTATTCTTTACTCCAACTTTTAAAAAAAAAAAATTAATTAATTTTTTAAACCTTTCTCGAATAAGGAGTTCTCCATAGACATGTTAAAGACGAGAAGAAACCGAAAAATGAATACTAGTCAAAACAAGAAAAGGGGTTAATCAATTAAAAAACCAAAAATCAGTTCACAAGAAACACCTGCCTGATATTTCTCAAAAAATATCACTCAAATGGCAAATTCCATTAAGATTAAAAAATGTCACATGCTATCGAAATATATGGAAGATATGATTGAGTGAAACATAATGAATATTTCAGCTTCTAGAAAAAGATAAAAGATCATAACGGCATTTTCAAAACTAATAGATATAGTGGTAGCTTTGCATACAGTTAAATTAAAAAATCCTCCAAGCTATCAGCCTCCGAAAAGTAGTCTACCTACCAAAAAGCAGCCATTTATCAACTGCAACTACTCTGCATCTACAAGTGAAATTACCATGCTTGACATCTCACAGTACCAAAATAAGAACAAGAAAAACAACACACATAGTGATAATCTAAAACTCAATAAGAAAATACTCGAATTTTACCATTTCTATCAACTAGTAACAACAACTTCAATCTAACATAATACCATATTCCATTCATAAGAATACTTTCATTAACCAATTTCACCTTAAAGTTATTTTGGCATGATCCAACCGAGAAACATGGAAAACCCACTATGAATATCAAACCAAATCAGAAAACAATTCTGTATGCCATTCGATTTCATATACTAGTAGTAGTAGTAGAAACCAAATCAGAAAACAATTCTGCATTATGCCATCCAATTTTAAATACTGGGAGTAGTAGCAGTATAGAAGTAGGAGTAGTAGAGCAGAAGTAGTAGTAGCGGCAGCAACAGTAGTAGGAGTAGCACTACCAGTAGCAGGCCTAGCAGTAGTCGTAGTAATGCCATTCAAGTTTAAATACGAGTAGTAGCAGTGGTACAGGTAACAGTAGTAGTAATAGCAGTAGCAGTAGGAGTAGCAAGTCACAGCGGTAGTAATAGCAGCAGCAGTAGTAGTAGCAGTACCAGTAGTACCGGTAGTAGCAGCGGTAGCAGTATCAGCAGTAGCAGCGGTAGCAGTATCAGCAGTAGCAGTAGTAGAAAGAAAATTTTTACAAAATCATAAGCTCGTATGAGGGGAAAAAAAAATCTCTGGTCACCTTCAGTCTTCTCTCTCATTACTAAAATAAAAACCTAAGCTAAAAAACCCTAAAATATCTGGAGCGCATATCTAATTATTCATTAAATAGAGACAACAAACTATTCCAAATTCCAATCAAATCAATTTCATTTCTGCAATTTAGCTCTCACAGTTATAATTCTACACAGCCACAAATGTCTAAAGAATATTAACACAGCTCAGAATTCAATAAAAAATTTTAATTGATAGAAAACAAAAATTTACAGTCCCAGTCACACATTTTCATCAAAACCCACCAAATTTCACCTTTCTCAGATCACAATTCACCTCAGTGAATCCTAAAAACCTTTCGGGACACGCGCCTTTTCTGGCAAATTTTGCGCCTTATCAGCCATGAACAAACAGTAATCAGCAACTTCTCTAAACTTGGGCACACTCCTCAGATCAACTTTAGTCCCATCATTCAAAGTTATGACAATATCACCCCATTCCCCTACAAAACGAGGCACCACCTGAACATCCTTAACCACTTTATAAGAGAAATCACTTCTATCGTTACCAGTAAGCCCTGATATCACAGTGACCCGCAAATTGGTGAACCTGTATCTCAAGAAAAATGCCCTGAAAACGGCCGCTATGGTTAGAGGCATCCACAGAAGAGTAAAACCCAACAAGAGATTTGACAAAAGGTCGCCATAATGGGCTCCCCCATCAAAGAAAACGCGCTCTTCAGTGGGTTTTTCAGGGGTAATCCTAGCCGTTGGATTGTTTGTTGGGGAAGAGACATGGAGGCGAGTTAGAAGTCTATTCTGGTTGTTGGGGTGAAATTTAGAGGAAAATTTAGAGAAATCAATGGAGAATTGATAAATTTGGGTTGGGCTTTTTGGATTTGCAGAGATGGTGGAGAAGAAGGCAAAAGAAAACGGGTAAGACGATGCAGCCATGCTTATCCAGTTGTTCTGCGCATCCTGTGGCCGGTTCTGTTTTGAATTTGTTGGAAAAGAACAGCGTACCATACACCACTCGTGTATGGTATAACATTTTGTAACATGTACCATCGATTTCTGCGATGCACGGGAAGAACTTATCCCTTTTGCTTAATCTCCGCCATCCGTTGTGGAAAGCGTAGTGCTGATGTGCCATGGAGCACTTTGTTGCCTTGTATTACCACAAATGTGAGCATTTGTGGTTCTACCTTGTGGACCGTGGAAATGCACCCGGCATGGTTAATCATCACCCTCCAAAGGTTTAGTATAGTGAGCTTTCAACAAATGAGAAACAATTTCTAACTTAAAAAAGATATAGCGAAATTGGAAATGTATGCAATGAGACCAAGGTAATCAGTAATATTGACTGTTAAATTTGAAATTGGGGGGTCGATGATGTGTCATTGTTCGAGCACAAAGCTCAAAATAAATTTTTTTGCATATGGTAACATATTTTCATTTATTGGATTTTACATCCAATAGCTATAAGTGATTGTGATCTCTTTATACCAAAAATAAATATTTTTAGAGCATACAAACCCTAACAAACTTGGCATATGCTTTGAAATTTAATTGAGCTTTGGTATGAAAACCTACTACCAACTAATAACTTCTAAATTCATAAAATTTGTGAAATGAGATACGAGCATGTGAAATGAGATAAGGGCAAATTTGAAACCAAATCTAGTTTACATGAAACATAGTTTCTTGAGTCAAAATGATCAACTTAATGAATTGCCAAGTATCATAGTTGTACATGACATTTCTTCATGCGATCACATGTTCAAGAAGATTGCATGCTCTAGGTAGATATCATGTATTTATGATTTATCCTGTGCGTACAATCTTTTATATGTAAAGAATGACTTAGGTTTGTGGGCACTTGTCATTCACTCATTACTTATCAAGTTTGGAATGTGGTTGGAAAGAAAACTAACTAAATAACATGTATGTATTTATGCAAAGAAAAGCACGTAAATATTTTGTTTTTTTATTTCAGATTAAGTGGTTGTAAATGTTCATTAACCGGACTCAAAGTTTGGAAAAAAAAAAAGAAAAAAGTTTTTCAAACTTCCTCATAAATCCTAAGCCATCCAAGTTATCTAATTTTAGGAGTAATTATGACCACTTTGTAATTCCTTTACAAAAAATCTATGCTCAAAATAGTACATATTATAATTCATGATATAAGTATTTCAAAATTACAATCTCACCTTTTTCGTTTTGCAAATACTGTTTCCACTCTTCCGGTGCCAAACAGGTCAGTCTAATATTCCAATTATTTTTAACCGTTATGCCCCTCATTTTTAATTAGAAATTTTTTATTTAAAATTTATGTTTTTAAAATTATTTAGGGGCATTTTTGCCATTTTTAATTAAGAGAAGAGTAGGGTTTCAGGAAACGAAAATTTTTGAGACAGAGCAAACTAGGGTTTTACGGGCATTTTTCCGTTCGTTCTCTCTCACCCTCTGCGAGCAAGAGCTAGAGGAACCTGTGCGAGCAAGAGCAACCCCAGAGCGAGCAAGAGCAGCAACCTCTCAATCAGTGAGTTATACTCAGATTAGCCTCCTTCGTTTTCTTTTCTTTTCTTTTCTTCTTCTTCTTTTCTTTTTTTTTTTTTTTTTTTTTTTTTTTTTTTCTATTTTAGGTTTTCGGATCCTCTCAGGGGTTTTCTTTAGGGAACCTTGTAGAAGAATTTAGGCTTTTCCTTATTTTACTCTGTTGTAAATTTTCTGTAAAAATACTTGGGGCTTTCCCACTAATATTTGTTTGTTGTAAATCTCCTGGATTTTATTCTGTTTTCTGGTTTCTTGTTCCATTTCTTTTCATACACAAGTGAACAAGATAATCTGAATTATTTCATTGATTCATAATATTTGATGCCCCAAATGCATGTAAAAAATCAGCAACCTTGATATATATATTCATGTATTGATGATTCTAGAGAGCTACATTAGTTCTATATTTTGTGGCTTGAAATGGGAGCCACGAAATTTCAGTTTACAGTGTGGAACTTTCATATCTTGCTATTGTCCCTCCATAAATATTTTCTTCTTCTTATTATTATGGGTTGGATTTCCTCTGTTTATTTGGTGGTTTTTGGTGATGTTCTGTACCCAACAAAGCTGAGAATGTTCTTGTATAATCTGATTTATTTCCTGGATTAATGGATGAAAATTTTATTCAAAATGGAATGGATGAAAATTTTATTCCCTTTCTCTCTCCTCTGTCCTTTTTCTTCCATCCTCTCTCTGTCTCTAGAGTCTCTACCCTCACCTACTCCAACATCTTTCCTATCTCCAATTCTCTCTCAAAATTTCTCTTCATTTGCAGCGAGAGATAAAGAGAGAAAAGGCTAAGCAAAGGCAAAGTTTGCAAGAAGATCAATTATAGAGAAAAAAAAAAAGCCTGTTATTTGAACTTCTAATAGAGAGAAATCATTGGGATCAATTTTGATTTTATGGGATTTTTAGATTGATTGAAGAGTTGGTTACAGTGATAAAGACCTTGTTTGTCAATAGATCCTGGTGAGGCAGTAATATGTTTTTTCTCTCTAGGACTTAGTTGATTGTGGATTGATATGTGATTTTGTTGCAATAGAGAGAGAAATTCAAGAAGTTGTTTACTTTTACAATTGAAGAGAACCGTTGTTGTAGGGGAGGGTTAGACAGAAATTCAGGATCTTTTAAATAGATGAATGAAGAGAAGAGTGTTGGAGTTTAGAAAGACTATGGTTGATTTGCTAATATGAAGTTGAAAGCTTAGAGATTGTTTTTTTCTTTGAAAGATTGTAAAAAAAAGAAAAAAAAGAGAGAAATGTTAAGAGGTAAAGAAGGTATTCTGACGGTCTCTCTTCTTGCTCACTAATGAAGGATCTCTCTCTCACTTTGAACAACCTCCCTCTCCAAAAAAGTATTGGAGGATCTCTCTCTCTCTCATTTTGAACAACCTTCCTCACCAAAAAAGTTTAGAGAATGTTCCTGTATGGCATGTTTGTATGTTTATCACTACTTGGATGCATCCATACTGTCCTTTGATATCTTTTATGATATCTGGATCATTATTTTGTTTGAAGTTGGGTTTGAATGGCTGAAATTGCTAGAAAGCTTGCTTCAAATTAACTCAAAGGCATATTTTTGCCTGTAGTTGACGCAGCATATGGTTGTGGCTTAACTTATGTTCATTTGATCCGTAAGAGCTTAGAAGCTTCGAGTGTATCTGACAGTATGGCTAGACTTATTCAAATTATGTCATTTGGCCATGCTATAAATCAGTGGTATTTTACAACAATACTATGGGTTGACATTCTTCTGTTGCATTCAGTTTATGAAGAATGAGTTTGTTAGTATTCTTTCTTTGTTCATGGGTAAGGGAGCCAACGTAGTATTTAGGAATGAAAATGGTGTGGGCTTCAAATGCCATATTCATATCATTTTATTTTATTTCGTAATCTCATGTCTCTTTTAATATCCTATAAATTTGTGTTGAAGAAGCCATTTTCACAAGTAGATGTGCTTATATTTTTTGATAGTTAATTACAAGTAATCATATGAAATTAAACAATATATTGTTAATAATATACTAAACTTGTGATTAATTAAGTTCGCTTTGTAAAATCATGCAAACCCTTTTAAAACAGTGGTTGCTTACATGGAAATAAGAACCTATTTATGAAATCTCCAAGCACAAAAGTATTCCTAGAATGTATTTACATGTTTGGTATTATATTGGATGAATGGAAGGAACCTTATTTAGTTACAAAATGTTATTACAAAGAACTGCATTTCTCACATCATATCTATGAAATACATAATTAACAATATTACAGGCAGTTTCCAGCTTTCCCATTGCCAAACAAATGAAATTACCAGCACCACACTTTATCAAACTGGGTTTCCAGCTTTCAAGCTGCCAATTTTCACCTGCATTCTAGAATCAATGGCAGTGCTGCAGTGAAAGTTATCAAACGGCACCTTACTGTCTCTATCTAGACGACGATCATTATGGTCTTGGTTATTGGTTGAGTTCAGTTCCTTTCTAAAATACTTGTTAAGAAGAGCGACAACTTCTCTAGAATGTGTTTTAATTGTTTATCTGATCAAGCATTTGGGTTGTACCTACTTTTGTTGGTATAGGGTATAGTTCAACAATCATCTCGGTTATCAGGTGACAAACCTGCGATCTTGGGACATGTTTGGGTCATGCTGCTGAATTTCTGTAAAAATATAGTGTGTATATACATTTCCTGATTTATGTATGTTTTTTCCTATCTCGACAATGATATGCATGTATCTCTTTTTTCATGTATCAATTTGTGAATGATATGCATGTATCTCTTTTTTCATGTATCAATTTGTGTGTGTGTGTGTGCGCGTGTGCGCGTGTGTGTGCGCGTGTGCGCGTGTGTGCGTGTGCGTGTGTGTGTGTGTGTGTGTTTTTCTATATTGATTTGAAAAAATACTGTTTGTTCCTTAGTATCCATCTGTAATGCATTGGGATATAAAATATTCATGACTTTATAACAAATCCTATGGACCAAAGCAATATTCTGAGACCCTGGATCCATATCAAATCCTTGGGTTTTTATATTTAGATTAAGAACTTTCAGCAGATTGGATCAGTTAAAGCTACTAAAAAATTGGTAAAACAATTGAAATATATTGATCCATTACACAGGCAAGATTCAATTATTCCCAAAAGAGAATCTGAGAATTTATTATGTCATTCGTCTCTTAAACAGAGTAGAACATAATTATTTAGACCAATCCTAGTGAGTGGTTTTATTGCTATTTGAACAAGTCCTATATGCAGATATTTACATCCTTTGTTTCTATGATCTTGTATCATCCTATTAGAAAGTAGCTGAAAACTGTTTTGTTCATCAGTAACAGAAATACTTTCTTGAACAGTTTTTATAGAAAATCCTGTTTTAAACTCAAATGTCCCTTTCTTGTAAACATCAGAAGCTGGGACTTTAGGGATATTCCAATTTTGAATTTGTTTTTCTATATTATTTATGATTACTTCTTCTCTATTTCTTATACGTCGTGTACTAAAGAGGCTCACCTACTAGATAGTGTTCTAAGGAAGTTTTCCATTTTAGAGAATAAGTTGATTACTGAGTCAATCGGAAACAGTCCCTGTACCTTTCATGGCTCTTCCTGGCCTATTTGGTAGTTCGGGTCACGACGACTTTAGTATCAATCAGTTCTCTGTAATAAAAAACTTTCTTAGTCTTACTAGTCCTTAAGACAGTCTTAGCCTACAGGTCACCACTGTAATTTACTTGGCTTTGATACCATTCAGCGCAGGAGCAATTATACGTAAAGGTACATCAAAATATAGAAATAATCAGAGATATTTTAACAATATTGCAAACCCAAATAGTATTAAAAAATAGACACGTAAAGGAGTAGATACATTAACTATAAACCAATTCACATAAACAACATGCCAGAATTTTATACATACAACTATCTTAAACTGCATAAGGGAAAGAAGACAAACAACTTACATATGACACTTGCAGAAACTAGAAAACAACTTCCACTCGTCTGGGCAATAACTGGGTAGTCAGTCCCAGTTACAATCACACATATAGTATACTCAGCTTACAGACACTTTTCAAAGTGATCTGGTTGGCATGACACACCACCAGATATGCAGTTAGAGAATAGAGTTACAGAGAGAGAGTACAGTTGCGGAGAGATTAGAGAGATATAGAAGAGAGAGAAAGAGAGAGAGAGAGAGACAGAGAGAGTTGTAGAGGTGTAGAGAGATTACTGAGGGAGAAAAACTCTCGGATGCTCTCATGAGCTGGGGGCTTCGTCCTTTTTATAGCCCTCCCATCTTGAAGCGGATTCAAGTTCTTTCTAGTCCGCCCAATCGTAAGATTCTTTAATTTGGTGGCTATAGTGAAAAGGTGTCGGCAGAAAGGACATGCTGGTGGCTACAGTGAAAAGGTGTCGGCAGAAAAGACAGGCTGGTGGCTACAGTGAAAAGGTGTCGGCAGGCTGGTGGCTTCAGTGAAAACGGTGCTATTCTGTCTTATTTTGGGGATTCGTGTGCTGTGTGGACTGCAGTCGTTCCGCCCCTATTTGGCTTATTGTGATAATCCGTAATCCATGTCTTCATTCTCTTGCTCATGGTTTTCTTCATTCTGGGTCGATGTTGACATGGCTTCCTCTTCTTCTTCAAATCTTTGTAGTAGTTTTTTCTTGAGCTCCTCCTTAGTAGCTTTTGGATATTTTTGACGTAAATGTATATATATATATATATATATATATATATATATTATTTTTATGTGTTTCTTTTGTACATATACTCGAATATTGATAAATTAATAGAAATGGCTGCGGAAAGGAGATTTATGCCTCAATTCTTGATTATATTTCTTTATTTTTTTTAGAGATATTTGAGTGTGAGGGAGATGGGGTTGTCCACAGTGTCAGGCTGGGCTTCGAACCCCCGACCCTGATACATGTGAACAACACGCCACCATGACAGCACATCAAGCCGACGATTATATTTATCTATTTGCAAGTGTTACTATAATATATACTTGAGTATATGAACGCATAAGAAATTGCTGAGAAAGGAGTATGGACTACTTATGAGTTTTAGAACCTTGTTTTACGGATTATGTTCCTATTCCTGAGGAACTGATCTGTCAAGGACTTTCCAAGGAATTGGAAGAATTCTATATTGCGAAGACTGATTTTGTGGGGCAGCGTCTTATTTCGGATAATTGAAGAAAGTACCCTTACTTTCTGGAATTCTTGAAAGAAATTATTCTCCAACTTCAAAAGTGATCATCATGCCCCTTCTGGTGGAAGTCTATTAAACACTTAAGATTTCTAATATACTAAAGATAAATATTTCTCTTAAGTTTTGATATGAAATGTGAAAAGTAAATCAGATGGTGATCTTTCTGCTAGATATGTTTCGCTTCATTTGGAATGTGATATTGAATAAAAAGCAGTTTAGATTATTATAGTAAATGTTATTGCTCTCGAATGTTAAAATACTCTGGCTGTATTTTGTTATTTGTTGGTTTGTTTTTGAGTTTTTTGTTAATTATTTCGTGTACATTGCAGGCACTGCAGGAGCACTAGTCAGTGGTGAAAATGAGTTTTATTTCCCAGAATGTTTCCTCAAAAAATCGTCCTGATAAAAGAAATGCGGAGGAAAGTGGGTCAAATGTGGAGAAGGAAAATGGGTCTTTAACTGTGAGAGATGGTGAGGAAAAAGAAAATGTGTACGAAACTGATATGGGTAGCTTGAAAAATGCGAAGAGAAGAAAAACTGAGGAAAGAAGTCTTCGGGAGAAGAATGAAGCCAAGAGGCTCGAGGAGTTCCTCTTTGGATCCCTTTATGCTCCTCTGGAGTTTGGAAATGAAGAAAAAGAGGAAATTACAGATACAAAGGAAGAAGCAGGAGCTTTTCTAATTATGGACAAGTCTCGAGAGGCTTATGATCTGGTACCTAAGGATATCTTGGAAGCCCAACCAATAAAAGGAGAGAGAAAACCTGCCTGGACAGACGAATCCGAAGCAAATACAGAGATTGATTTAGCAAAAGTAAGTAGGCTGAGGAAATTGAGAAGAGAAGCCCATGAGATTGTGATTTCGGGGGCTGATTATGTTTCAAGGTTGAGGTCTCAGCACACAAAACTGAATCCTGGAACTGAGTGGGCTCAACTTGGTAGAATGAAACTGAGCCATGGTGAAGATTCTGATGATGAAGATGATGAGGGGTTTGAGGTGGCACAAGGTTACTCTGAGGAAGATAATGATATTTTAAGGACAAGTGAAGATCTTGTGGTGAAGGATGGAACAAAGCTATTGCCTGGAATTCTTGAGTTTTCAAGGCTTAGTAATGCAAATGCTGAGGACCCATCAAATGCCCCCATCCATTCGGTCGAGTTCCATAGAAATGCCCAACTGTTACTCACTGCTGGATTAGATAGAAGAGTGAGGTTCTTTCAAATTGATGGGAAAAGAAACCCTAAGATACAAAGCATATTTATAGAAGATTGTCCAATCCGAAAGGCAGGTTTCTTGCCTGATGGATCACAGGCAATAATATCTGGAAGAAGGAAGTTCTTTTACAGCTTGGACATCGTGAATGCAAAGCTAGATAAGATAGGTCCTTTGATAGGTAGAGAGGAAAGGAGCCTAGAAAACTTTGAAATCTCACCTGATTCAAGCACCATTGCGTTTTTGGGTCGTGAAGGCTACATTCTCTTGGTTTCATCGAAAACAAAGCAGTTGATAGGGACACTGAAAATGAATGGGACTTCTCATGCTTTGGCCTTTGCTGATGATGGGAGGCAGCTCTTGAGCACAGGTGGTGATGGGCATATTTACCATTGGGATCTCAGAATGAGGAGGTGTTTCCATAAGGGTGTTGATGAGGGATGTGTTAATGGAACTGCTATTAGTGCTTCTCCAAATAGTAAGTTGTTTGCTGCTGGTTCAGATAGCGGAATTGTGAATGTTTATGATAGAGAAGACTTTCTTGGAGGCAAGAGAAAGCCATTAAAGGCTATAACCAATTTAACAACAAGGGCGGATGTTTTGAAATTTAACTGTGATTCTAGGGTTTTGGCTATTTGTTCAAAGATGAAGAAGAATGGCTTGAAACTTGTTCATGTTCCATCTTTGAGTGTGTTTTCAAATTGGCCTGCTCCAAATAGTACTTTACACTTTCCGAGCTGCCTGGACTTCAGTCCGGGTGGGGGTTTTATGGCAGTCGGAAACAGTGGAGGGAAAGTTTTCCTGTACAAGCTCCACCATTATCAACATGCCTGAGTGGACCCTAATGGATTGGGGCATCTTTGTAATGTACTTTCTAACTTGCGGAATCAAATGTTTCACTTATCAAGTGAGCTATTTCGTTCTCTTCTTTTGATTCGATTTGCACCTAGCTGGAGTTGTGGCTTAATTATTTTGGAATATGATGAAAGTTTAAATTGCCCAAATTTATTTATTTATTTTCTAGAATGTTTAACTTTTGTATTATGGAAGTTAAGTTTTTTATTACTTGGGAGTCTGAATTTGTGCCATCCCAATTTGAATTGAATATTTCTCTGCAGTTCATGCACGAGTGCTCCTTTAAATACCTTCTCTGATTATATTTACAAATTGATCCTCATTAGTTTTGATCATATAAATGTCTATTACAGAACAGTTTAATCTCTTGTATTTTAAGCAATAGCAAACACCAACAGAAATGAGATGAGATGGGTGATGTTCAGGATTTTGCTATGGTGGTTAAAGCTACAGACCACACTGTGCTTGGTGTGCCTACCAAGCCTTTTAGGGCTCGTTTGGATCCTAGGGTAAACAAAATCTTGTTTTGGATCATAACATGGTTATGCAAACCCTGGTTATACCAAATTGGTTATTGAGAAATAATTGTTTGGATAGCTGGTAGATAATACTTAGGTTATACAAAATCCCTTGTTTGGGTCATCTATTTGGCGTAACTTGGGTTTACACCATTTAGGACACATTTGGTAGGTACGAAACATTTTCGTGCAAATTATTTTCATATAAAAACTGTCTGACCCATATTTGGTATGCAACAATACATATAAAAAAAATTTCCATTAAAAAAATTTGTATCAAACTTTTAGATGGAGAAACTATAACAAATTTTAGAGAGACTACCAAAATTTTTTAAGAGAAAAACTGTCTCAATAATTTTAGAGAGAAAACTGTCAAAACTTCTCAACAAATATATTGAGATAGTTTCTCTATCTAAAAATTGGAAATTTCAGATAGGTGAAAATTTCTTTCTAATTTTTTTGAGATAGAAACGAAAATTTGATATAGTTTCTCTCATTAAACTTTAAAATACTTTTCCTCACTAAAACTTAAAATTTGAAAAAATTTCTTTATAAATTTTGAGATAATTTATCTCTCTAATTTTTTTAAGTAATTTCTCTCTCACTAAAACTTGATACAGTTTCATTCTCTAAAGTTTTATGATGCCCTCTCTAAAACTTCAAATTTGATATAATTTCTCTCTCTAAAATTTTATTGATAGTTCTCTCTCTAAAAAGTTTTATGTTGTTTCTCTCTCTAAATTTTGATGTCGTTTCTCTCTCTAAAACTTAAAATTTGAGATAGTTACTCCCTAAATTTTTTAAGATAATTACTCTCTAAAAAAAATTTAAGTCGTTTCTCTCTCTAAAGTTTTTAAGATACTCTCTCTTAAATTTGAAATTTGAGATAAATTCCCTTTAAAAATTTTGAGATAGTTTTTCTCTCTAAAAATTTAGGTATTTTCTCTCTCTAAAATTTTAAGGTACTTTCTCTCTCTAAAATTTGAAATTTAAGATAATTTCTCTCTCTAAAATCTTTGAGATAGTTACCCTCCCTAAATAAATTTAGATACTCTCTCTCTCTCTAAAATTTGATATAGTTTACATCTCAAAAATTTTAAGATACTTTCCCCTTTTTAAACTTAAGATTTTGAGATAGTTTCTCTCATTAAAAATTTTCAAATATTTGTCTCTCTAAAAAAAAATGTAGGTAGTTTCTTCCTCTCAAATTTGGTATAGTTTCACTATCTAAAATTTTACAATACTTTCTCTAAAAAACTTGAAATTTGAGATAGTTTTCCTCTCTAAAAATTTCATGTAATTTCTCTCTAAAATTTGATATAGTTTTTGCTCTAAAATTTTAAGATTTATTTTCTCTCTAAAACTTGAAATTTGAGATAATATCTCTCTAAAAATTTTATGTAGTTTCTCTCTCTAAAAGTTGATATAGTTTATTTCTCTTAAGTTTTGAGATACTTTCTCTATCTAAAACTTAAAATTTTAGATACTTTCACTTTCTAAAAATTTTGAGATAGTTTCTCTCTATAAAAATTTACAAATAATTTCTCTCTCTAAAATTTGATTAGTTGCTCTCTAAAGTTTTAAAATACTTTCTCTTTCTAAAAATTAAAATTGATATAGTTACATCTCTAAAATTTTAAGATATTTTATTCATCTAAAATTTATAATTTGATATAATTTCTCTCTCTAAAATTTATGAGAAGGGTTCTCTCTCTAAATTTTTTAAGTACTTTCTCTCTCTAAAATGTGATATGGTTTCCCTCTCTAAAATTTTAAGATACTTTCTCTAAAACTTGAAATTTGATATAGTTTTTCTCCTTAAAAAATTGGAGATAGTTTCTCTCTTTAAAGTTTTTTAGTAGTTTCTCGCTAAATTTTGATATAGTTTTTCTTTTTAAAAGTTTAAGATACTTTCTCTCTCTAAAACTTAAAATTTGAGGTGGTTTTTTTCTTTAATTTGTGTGGATGTTTTGATATAATTAATTGTATTTAATAAAGTGAGCAGCCCAAGTGTATGAAAATAGTATTGTCGTGTTCCCTCTTTCATGCTTGCACAAAACAATGTTTTGGATAACTCAATTTTTTTTGGTTTTATCGTTGTTTTTTTGGCCATCTTTTGCAAAAACATATATAAAAAAAGTGCCAAACGTGTTTTTTTTTGGGATAACATGGTTATACAAAACCACGTTTTGTTTATCTTAGGATCCAAACGAGGCCTTAATGTTCAAACACAAATCTTCATAATGAAGAGTTATGGTGTGGTGTTGGGAGTTTGTGCTTTTTGGGGCTGTGGGATGATGAAGCAGGAAGAGGAGTCTGCTTTGAGGAGAGAGCAGGGTCATAATTGGAATGAAGGTTTGTAAGTTCCTTATAGCCTTTAGGGGGTTTCAATGATGGGCTTTTTGTTTTTTTAGGTAGTTCAGTGGGGATATAGGCCCTTACTTTTTTTTAAATCATTATTGGTTTTTCAAAGTATTGTGAGAATAAAAGCTTAGATTTTAGTTGAAGCTCTTGCGGTTTTGAAGATGAGCTTACTTAAGGGGCATTTGTAGCATTTGTATCATATTGAGTGAATATGTAGTAGTCCTAGCTACTTTGTTACCTTTTTTTGATGCTTTTGTGTATAGATGATCCATATTTATGGCACTTAAGATTAGAACATATAAATAAAGATAAAATGAATCAAACGGTTAAAAGAGGTTTGCTTCTCTATTTAAGAGAAATTGTGTTCAAACCATGCGAGCCATGTATTTCTGGTATATTAACTAAAAAGCATTTCCTTAAAGGGAAAATGTCTAGTGAACTACTTAGTATTGTTCACTCTGATATATGTAGCCTATTAAAAGTGAAAACACTTAGAGGTATGAAATATTTCATAATATTTATAGACGATTATTTACGTTATGGATATGTATACCTAATTAGTAAAAAATCAGATGCATTAGAAACATTTAAAGAATATAAAGCTGATGTAGAAAATCAGTTAGGTAGACATATTAAAATTCTTTGAACAAATAAAGGAGGTGAATATTACTCCACCTTATTTTCTGAATTTTATAAGGAGCATGGTATAATTCACCAAACAACTATGCCATATACACCACAACAAAATGGTGTAGCTGAAAGCAGAAATAAAACTCTAATAGACATGGTTAGGTCCATGATGAGCTATTTAAATTTATCACCTCATTTTTTTGGTGAGGCTCTCAACACTGCAATATATATCATTAATCGTGTTCCAACTAAATCTATAGACTTGACCCCATATAAATTGTGGACAGGTAGGAAACTTGACCTTACTATCTTGAAAGTTTGGGGTTCTTGGGCACATGTGCTTATACCACCACAAAATAGAGATAAATTATAAAGTAAAATTATTAAATACTCTTTTATAGGCTATTCAGAAAATTCTAAAGGGTATAGATTTTATAACCATGATACTAGATCATTAGTAGAGAGTCGTGATGCTCATTTCTTAGAAAATATAGATGATAAAAATATTTTAAATAAGCCTATTGACTTACATGAAATTGATAAAGATAATAGTTTGGAAGACCCTGTTTCTCAGACTCCCTCTATATTTGGTGAGAATGATTCAATTAAATCAAGTATACTAGATAGGCCTAAAAGAACTAGAGCCTCACCTACGACTTTAGAAGAATTTTATGTATTTATTAATGAAGATAATTACTCTTCAATGAGTGATGATACAATAGATGAACCTCATAGCAACAGTGAAGCTATTAATTTACATGACTCAGCTGAGTGGACTTAAGCCATGGATGATGAACTTGATTATATTAAAAGAAATCAAGTCTGGGAGTTGGTTGACCTCCCTAAAGATAGAAAAGCCATCGGTTGCAAATGGGTCCTAAACAAAAAACTTAATGCAAATGGATCCAGTGATAAGTAGAAAGCTACGTTGGTAGCTAAAGGATTTACCCAAAAGGAGGGCATAGATTATGTAGAAACTTATTCTCCAATAGCAAAATTTTCATCTATTATGATCACCCTTGCATTAGTTACATATGATGATATAGAATTATTTCGGATGGATGAAGAATTAAACTAAGATATATACATGAAACAACCAGAAGGATATGCAATTAAAAGGCAAGAAGACAAAATATATAAACTTAAAAAATCTTTATATGGTCTAAAACAGCCTTCTAGGCAATGGTACTTTACTTTTCATAATGCAATCACTAAAATTGGTTATATAGCCAATAGGTTAGACCATTGTGTATATGCCTGGAATAATGGGAACAATTTTGTTATATTGTCATTATATGTGGATGACATATTGATAACCGGTAATGATATTGGCATGATTAACCATACAAAATCATGGCTAAGTTCCATTTTGAGATGAAAGATATGGGAGAAGCCTCATATGTATTGAGCATTAAGATAACAAGAGATATAAGTTCAGGACTTCTATGTTTATCTCAAGAAAATTATTTAGAAAGTATTTTAAAGATATTTAAGATGGAAAATTGCAAGCCCATAGATACATCTGTTTGTAAAGGCTTGAAATTATCAAAGAAAATGTGTCAATTAAATGATATTGACAAAGCAGAAATGGAAAGAATTCCATATGCTCAAGCTGTAGGATGCATAAATTATGCCATGTACTGTACAAGACCTGATTTGAGTCATGCATATGATCTTGTAAATAGATTTCAGAGTAAT